CCTCATCGTCGTCGTCGTCCTCCTCCTCCTCCTCATCATCCCATTCCTATTCCTCCTCCTCCTCCTCCTCCTTCTCCTCCTCCTCCTCCTCCTCCTCCTCCTGCTCCTCCTTCTTCTCCTCCTCCTCCTCCTCCTCCTCCTCCTCCCTCCCCCTCGGCCCCCCTCTCCCTGGAGCAGGTGGCGCTGGAGGTGATGAGCGGCAGCTTCACGTGCTGCGCCCGGCGCCACCCCGACGGCATGCCGTGCGACAAGGCCCGCCGCTGCCCACGCCGTCATGCGATCGCGAAGGCACCCCGCGAGCGTGAGGGGCAGCATGGTGCATCGAAGCTGCCGTTCGGCAGGGGACCTACTCCGGATGTCATGAACAAATGCGGGGCTGGGGGGCCGGGGGGGGGTCACATTGGGGGGGTATTTTCTCCGGGCTGTCTTGGCGAGAGGGCGGCGGGTCGGATTTTTGTTTGGGGGGGGGGTGGGCGGACTCCAGTGGGCCCAGAGGGGGGGGTCTTGCAGAGCGCGGCGCACCACGCAGACGCTTGGGAGGTTTGTGACCCCCCCACTTAACTATGAGTTCGCAGTACACAGTGACCCTCCTATGCTATCAGGAGGCGCTTTTCTTCGAGAACCGATGTCTTCCTTCATTGCCGAGGCTATCGCTCTGGACCAGGCTGTTCAGGCAGTGATGGCCACCACTGACGCCATTATCAACTGGCAATCTAGCGAAATAAAGAAAAGAGGCAGCCTCCGCGAGCTCATCCTTCCAAAACGCGACACCCGCGGTCCAGCAGGATGAAGCTCCTCCTGGGAGGTCGAGTTCAACGTCGGCGCCCTTATTAGATCCGTGGCCGAAGACCGGCCGAATCCGCTGAATCCGAGGGATGAGGGAGACCCCCGGTGACGGCGGCGGCGGACGGCCGCCGCCGCAGGTTCTCCAGGGCATTCGTCGACGGATCGCCATGGGATAGCGGGTCTTGAGGTCAGCGGCACCTGATGTTTTTTTGCCATTTTCGGATTTTCGGGGCCCTCCATGGGCCACGGGGTGTGTCAGAAAACGACCCAGGATGAAGATCTCGTCATGAAAGCAAGCCCCGGCGTCCATGTCCCGTTTCCCTGAGGACCCGTTTCCCCCGTGCTATGAAGAGGGGGAACAGAGTGAATAAACAGAAGTTTCTGACGGTCCGCGCGGATTTTTGGATCGGCGTTGGGGCCCTCTGGGGGCACCTCCAGTGCTGGCCATTGCGTGCTCCGCGCGCCATGGATGGGGTTCAGCGCAGATTCATGAAATCCGTGCGGATCGTCGACAGTAATGTTTGTGCAATTTCTTCTTCCTCTATATCGGGCGTTTTCGTGGGTTCTTGAGGTTTGTCTCGCCTCGGGATGCTCGCAAGCAGTTGCGCCTCGTGCGGAGCGTTCCGGGGGTGCCCAGATGGTCCCAATCGGTCGCCATGGTGGCCGAGTTGGGGCCCGGAAGCCAAACCTTGTCACGGTGCGACAGGAATCACAACGGAGGGCTCGGGGCAATTTTCGGTTTCCGGGATCCCTCGCCTGGCCCCCCAGGAGGGGGAGGAGGCCGTGGGAGAAGAACCGAAGAACAACTAATTGCATAAAAATGCAACTTTCAGAGATCCGCGCGGAGTTATGGGCACTGCGCCGGGCCCCAGATGCCTTGGATCTGCACCAGGCTCCCCCCCCTCCCCGGCCGCGCCTCTGGCGTCGCCTCTGGCGCCGATCCAGGAAATCCGCGCGGAGCTCTGGAAATGAATGGTCATGTGTTCTTCTCGGGACCTCGCAAAGGGGGGGGGCCCCCGGGGGGGGGGGGGGGGAGCTCGGTCCGTGGGCGCATCGAACCGCAGGACAACTATGCAAAACGAGGTCTCCAGCCGCCGCTGGAACCCGAGAGGCGTCGAGAATCGGGGCGCGCGGGGGTCATCGTTTGTCGGAAATTCGATGCACCAGCGGATCGAACTCACCCCCCCCTCGGGGCCCCCCCCCTTTGGTGAGCCCCGATCTTCGTGTCCGGAGGGATGGCGATTGCACGTGCACATCTGAGTGCGGGTGCGGCACAGCCGTAGTCTTAGGTCGGGCATGTCTCTTAGGTCGGGCATGTCCCCCTACAGGCGGATTTTGGGTGACAAATGTCAAATATCCCAAAAAATAATCAGATGATACCGGAGAAAAAAACCCAATCATACAGTAATCTTTTTAGGACTGTAGGGCTGTTGGGCTACAGGGCTATATTGGCTCTTGGGCGCTATATGGGCTAGTGGGCTATATGGCTATATGGCTATAGGGCTATAGGGCACCCCCGGGCACGCCCGGGCACCCAGGCACCCGGGCAGGGCACCCGGGCACCCGGGCGTGCAGCGAAGATCGGCGACAAACCCAACCTAACCATATGAATCCGCTCGGACCCCTACAGAGGCAAGCTCTGATTGGGGAAACATGGTCCCCGCACGATTTTTTGTGACTGTTCTGGAATATCCCTCCTGTAGAGAGGGAGAGGCCCGACTGAACCGCAGTCTGGCCTCGCAGCTTGTGGGTGTAAGTGGCCGGCCCAGGCGGGCGCGGGGGGAGCCACCTGCGGCCGCCGCCCGCGGGGGGGGCGCGCTCGGGGGCGCAAAGCGAGCGGGGCACGAAGGAGGAGGAGGACGAAGAGGAGGAGGAGGAGGAGGAGAACGAAGAGGAGGAGGAGGAGGAGGAGGACCCCCTCCCCCTCCAACTTATGGTGGTGGTGGTGGAAAATAGGCCCATCGTGTGGAGTCCGAGGCTGGGAGTTGACCATGCATGGCGCGCTCCAGAGAGGCCCTCGCCTTCGAGGGTCGAAGGGATTGCCATCTCCTCCTCGACGGAAGGCGGCGGAAGGGCGGCAGGGACACGCGGAAGTAGAACGGAGGGCGCCTCCGCTGGCGGAAGTACAACGTGTGCCCCTGCAGATAGCCACATGTTTGGGTTCAAGGTTTCTGGCACCCGCCGTGTGCACTGCCTGGGAAACCGGCCTTCCTGGACCTTGGTTTCGGTGGATGAGGATATGTTAGGGCCCTTGGCAGGCCCCGGCATTTCCACATCCACCGCCCCTGGGTTGGCCCAGGACATCGGTTCCCCAGACAGATTTGGATAGATCCCCACCTCGCCTGGAGGGGAGGGTGCCGAACGGATGCGCGGTCAGCCGCGGTGCGTCATCGGCAGAAACAAGCAGCGGCAAAGGGAGGCAGAAGCAGCGGCAAGAGGAGGCGGGCGTAGGAGAAGGTGCGGGGCGCAGTGGCAAGGCAGCGGGAAGCCACCTGCAGAGGATGGACGACAGTGGGGTGCGGTGGGGCGAGGGAGTAGCGCCTCGCACGAGCTCGAGGCGCATGCACGCCACCGAATCTGCCAACGCAGGGATCCGTACTCGCCCGTTCCGGCCCAAGATATGATTCGCACTTCTGCATCAGCGTGCTTTCCGCGTGAGACTCGTGCGTGTTGCCGCTGCATCCAACATGGTATCAAACATGTGCGCAAGTGTGCTTGTTTGTGTACCTGCTGCTTCTGGCAAGGGTGCAAGCGATTCATCGCCGCGCGCACCATTTCCAGTCCACCGCGAACTCCAGCAATTCCACGTGCAGCGATGGGTCTACCATGCTTGGTGACACTAATGGTGTACAGCTCGGCGCCGTGCAAACGTACACGTGGCAATATCCATTCCTATACTACGATGGGTCTTGGTATACCCTAGCCACGACGCGATGCCAGTGGGCAAATGCGATGCTGGGGAGCCTCTCACGAGCTGCACACGAGGATTTAATCATTGGGGGGATCTCAACGCTTGGAGTGGAGCCTGCAACGCTGGTACTACAAATGGCGTCAAAGTCAGATGTTATGGCAATGCCATCAGTGGTTTCACTTTCCAACCATGAACCTGCTGACTGCCGAGCCCGACGCCCAGCCCAACGCCCAGCCCGACCCCAACCCCTACGCCCAGCCCGACGCCCAGCCCGACGCCCAGCCCGACACCAAGCCCGCCGCCCAGCCCGCCGCCAAGCCCGCCTGCCAGAGCAGTTGGTGATCCTCATTTGCAGCATGTTCTTGGTCAGGGGTTCGATTTGATGATGCCAGGCAGGCATGTTCTGATAAACGTACCTCGCGGGGAACTTGGTGAGAATGCATTGTTTCGCGTGGTAGCCGATGCGCGCCGGTTGGGTGGAAGTTGCGCCGGCATGTACTTCCAATCAGTGAATGTCACAGGGTCATGGGCACAGGCCCTACAATGAGGAGGGTGCCAGTACGCCGTATCGCATGTGCCGTCAAGGGAGTGGCGCATCTTCGGGAGGGTCGGGCTGAAAATCGTTTATGGACGTGCGTGCTTGCAGTACTTGAATATCTACGTCAAGCACTTCGGGCAATCAGATTTTGCTAGAGGAGGCCTGCTGGGGGAAGACGACCACAGCGACGTGACCGTTCATCCAGCGTCGTGTCTGAGGAAGATGGGTCTCAAACAAACTCAGAAGAATGATGATTCCCCGTATTCGTCCGTGGCATATGCCAGTTTATCATCAGATTTCTCTTCAAGAGGCTTACGCTATTCCGCATATAACCCAGAAGAAGAGATGTGTGGCTCTCGATGTCGTATGCGTTTTTTGTCGTTTGCCGTCGTGCTGCTTGCCTGTGGTTGTTGCTGATTTGTCCTCCGCTTCCTCCGCGTCTGTTGTGGTGCTGCTTGGGGCGCCCTCATTTGGGGAATACTAGGAGTGTGAGGGCCATATTGGTGAATAGGGCTCCTGGGATCCCTGCGAGTTCCACTCTTGGCACTCTCTTTGGCCCCTCTCGGGGCCATCTGGACGGCACGTGTGGCTGTCTTGAGACCCTCTTGTGCCATCTTGGGCCTTGGGCCCTCGTGGGGCTGGCCTGGGGGGTTGCTTCCTTAGGTCCGTCTTGGAGTTTCATAAGCTGGAAACAGCAAGACCACCGTGAAAATAATTTTGGAACCCATTGGACATCAATTGATGTTGCCCCGTGAGTCTCTCTTGGGGCTCTCTTGGGGGTTCCTTGGGGGCGTCCTTGGCAATCTTGAGGCCATCTTGGGTGTGCACGAGGCCTCCGTCTTTCTGTAGCCATCTCGGAGGGCATCTTGGGCATCTTGGCGGCCATGGAGGGTTGGTGTGGAGGCTCCGACGGCCCCGGAGGTGCGTTTGCGGTCTCGCCGCCTCGCCTCCCCCACCCTCAAGCGGGGTTGCAGACCCCATGAGAGGCGGCAAGGGGGAGGAGGACAGCCGAGCTTCTCGCGCACCTTTGTCGCACCCAGCGAGGCGAGCTCGGTGGGAACGGCGGAGTTCTGTGCGGAGGCTGTGGGATCAGCGACATGCGGGGAGCAGGACCACGCACAGGCAATCGTGGCGCTTGCAGCGGGTTGCGCCGTGTGCGTGGGAGTTGGGTCATAACTCCACCTGCAGCCTTGGTCGCAGCGGCCGTTCGATCATGCGCGTCCGATCGATGCAGCCGCATGGGGGGGGGAGAAGATTGAAAGGGGGAAGGCGGAAGGAATGGGTCGCTTACATGCTTCGTATTTGTCATCTGGCCCGTGGCTGGTGGCGCCTTGCTTACAGTTTTGCGGCGGGCTTCCGGCTGACATATCAGGCAGCCGCGGATCGACGCTGGTCCGTCCAGCCTATGGCCGGTGACGCCTTGCTTACAGCTAGTTCTGCGGCGGGCCTCCGGCTGGCATATCAGGCAGCCGCGGCTCGATATTGGTACTTCTTTCATGGGTCTCATATCAGGTGGCCCGGGCATGATTCATGTTCTGTTCAGAGTTATGGATTTATCGCTTTTGCGCTTTGAAAACTAACGAGGATGGCGACGTACGGATGCGCTGCAATCGGTGGCTATTTCACCGCCTTCGATCGCGTAGGATATGAAGTGGAAGCAAGACCATAGCAGTCATTATTTGACTCGACAGGTATCCTGCCGAGTGTTAAACGTAGAATATGCTACAGCTTAGTCCGTTCAACACAGTGTCGTAACATGTATTGCGTATGCGATGGGAGACACCGAGAGACAACAAGATAATGGACGCTTGAACTCAGAAGGAATAGGCCCACGAGTAATGAAGTGAATGTGGGCAGCGATCGACCTTCGCAATGGGAGTGCAAATAATGAGATACAGGGTGACATCACGAGCGCTACTAGTACTACTAGGAAGCACCCCGCTGAAAGAAGAACGTGCCGACCTGCCTGGCAGGGCTCCGCCAATGCCCGAGAAGCGTGAAGTAAGCGAAACGCGGTGTTTCGTATTGGTGAGGCTCGGTATCCATCTGTGCAAATGTTTAGTCGCTGCCTGTCGGGTCAAGACTCTTCCAGTCCCCATAGTCGCTCTGAGCACTGATTGTCTGTATCGAGGTGTGGATAACATGTCCAAGAGAGGATGCGTAAAGGGAGGTGGAGCTCGAGGAGTTGGCGGACGGGGTAGGAACGGATGTCCGAGCTCTGCGTGCGACAGAATGCGTGCGTCTGTTGTAGATACGGTGGTTCGGATTTCTCTGGCCGAACATTGGATGTACGAATGTCTGTATACATACGTCATGTATACACATATGGAAGTCCAACTAGAAGTATTGCCATCTGAGATCCAGCAACGACAAATCAATGAATATGGGGTGTGGGAGACTAACGTCGAAATGGGACATCGAATTCACATCCGCTCGAATTTGTTTGTGTACTCACGTACGTCGCGTCGAGGTACTGTTCAGCTACGCAGTATTCTTTTTGTTTTGCTTTGGGTACATGCACCTAGACACAGACATGTACTGTCCAGCCAGACGAGGCATGGCGTGCGTCTGGTCGCTTACACGGATCGAGGTTTATTGCGTGAACAGGTGCATCGCAATGTTTTATTGGAGCGTGAATATCATGCCAGAGTTTTCCATCATCTCATCCGAAGGGCTGCGCTCTCTGCTGCCAGCCCCCCTAGACCAAGCCAGGTCAGGAATGTCTTGTGACCTCTATCGTGCCATAATTTGAAGGATCTCGGGGTCTCCAGGGCAACATCTGGGCTAAGTTGGGACAGTGATGCCGCCTAGGGCCTTTACAAGGGTTTCTCTGGGAAAATTGGGGGCATCCATGGACATCCTGGGCCCGTCTTGCGGCCTGCTTGGACCGTCTTGAAGCTACCTTGGAAGCCTTGAGCCGTGGTGGCGCAGCATGGGACTCACAAGCAATCGTGGAATCATTGAAGGTTCCATGGTTTGCTGCCTTCTCGAAGCGATATTGGGCCTTCTTGGTTGGTAGTTGGGTCCCTCCTGAACCCTGTTTGAGACCGCTGAGGTGCTTGGGCCATCTTGTCTCATGGGGCCCTCTTTGAGCCCTCCTGGGGTGCTTCTGGACGCTTTTGGGCCATCTTGTTTGGCGGCGTCCTCATAGGAATGCTGTTGAAACCCAGAGGGACCAGCCCTGAGGAGTACCAGCCCAGTGGCTTTGTTTGACTCCGTGACCTCCCCACTCTCCAATGGACAGTACAGGACCAGGGGCGCAAGTACAGGACACAAGCATCACGACGATACACATCCAAGATTTTTATACATCGTGGCAAGACAGCAATCCAGCAGGGAACCATATCAGATCGTCGATGCCATCGACCCCTGGCCGAGAGACTGTCGATCCCGCCGATCCCTCGACCCAGTGATACCGTCGACGCCGTCGACACGTGCTAACACACTTTCGCAGCTCCGCGCGGATTTCTTGGATCTGCGCGGGGTCCCTTGGCGGCGCATCTGGCGCCGCCCCCAACGCGCTCCTCGCGCCTGTGAAGGGGGCCCAGCGCAGGTCCAAGAAATCCGCACGGACCTTCGAAGGTTTATATTCACATGTTTTTGTCCCAACCACCCCGTGGTGTTTTCAAGGGAGCGTCCTGCGTTCTCCATCCTCCCGCTCTGATCATTTTAATCAGCCTAATCGCGTTCAGTCGGGCTGAGCCCCGTCCGTTAAATGTGTTCCCGTGGCCCTTAACCAGGCCTAGTAGCTCTTAATCGTTATTACGGAGACTTTCCAGGAGTCGCTGGCCATCGTCGTCGTCGTCGTCGTCGTCGTCGTCGTCGTCGTCGTCGTCCCCGCCGCCGCCCGCGTGCCGCCAGGCCCGCGTCGTGGGCGCGATGCTGGGCATCCTGTGGCGCCTGAAGGCGGCCGGGGCAGACGGCGGCCAGGGCGCCTCTCAGGTGGGGGCCTCGGCAGCCCCAGGGGGGGCGAAGCCTCCCGGACGTCCACGTCAGCCGCAGGGGGGTGCGCAGACGATCGCGCCTGGCGGTCGAGGCCGGAAAAGATGCCCTTCTCAAGGTGGCCGAGCGATGGCGCGTCGTGTGGCGCGAAGCGCGAAGTGTCGTGACCTCGGAGGTGTGTGTGCGTGTGCGTGTGCGTGTGCGTGTGCGTGTGCGTGTGTGTATGTGTGTGTGTGTGCGTGTGTGTCTCTGTGTGTCTCTGTGTTTGCGTGTGCGTGTGTGCGTGTGTGCGTGTGTGGGTGTGTGTGTGTGTGCGTGTGTGCGTGTGTGCGTGTGTGCGTGTGTGCGTGTGTCTGTGTGTGTGTGTGTGTCGGTGTGTGTGTGTGTGTGTGTGCGTGGGTGTGTGTATGTGTGTGTGTGTGTGCGTGTGTGTGTGTGTGTGTGTGCGTGTGTGTGGTTGTGCCACCCCGCCTCCCCCCCAGGGCCCGCCGTGCCCGTGCTCACGCCCAGCCCACCTTGCCCACCCAGGCAGCGGGAGCCCTCCCAGTGCCCCGCTGGGCGTACGCAGGGCGCCCCCCCCGCCCCTCCCCCGCTCGCGGCGGCGCCTGACGCCGCTGCTGCGGCCTGGCGCCGCCGCCCCGCCTGCGGGTCTCTCCGCGGGCGGGGCGTCCTCCTCCCTGTCCGCCTCCCCCCCGCCCTCAAGCGGTGGCGAAGCGTCCTGGCGTGCCTGGAGGCCTACCAAGCAATGTTCTGAGAACGTTTTTTTTGTGGCTTCCACGGGGAAAGTGTTCTCAGGGCATTTCTGGCTGGCACTGCCTTGCTGTAACACATCGGGTTCATGTTCTAAGAACATTGATGTTTCTTATAGCATTTTTGGGTTCTACGAAAATTTCGTGGTAGGCCAACAGGAATGCCGGGACGGTCGGTCCCTGCTCAACTCCCCCGCTCTGTCTCCCTCCCTCCGCACGCCGCCATGGCATTGGATGGCTGCTTGCCGCCTGCGCTGCTGCCCCGGGCCTGGTTTCGCCGCCCGCCGCCGCAGCGGCCCAGCATCCTGCTGGGCACACTGCGCCCGCTCCCGTCCTGGGGGGCGCACCGCCACCTACTCTGGGTTTCTGCATTGTTCGCATCGCATCCTGAACCAGGTGGCTTGTCCCGGTGCTCGTACTGCGCCCCGCCCCCGCCAGGCCCCGTCGCAGCAGCCGCCGCCAACGCCGCTGGCGGGGCTGGCCGCGCCACTCGCTCTGGGTGTGCCCCGTCCCCCTGGGGCGGCCCTCACTCCATGCCTTCTCCTTCAGCCGCCTTCCTTGTCTTCCTCAATTCCCTTGCGTTGTGGCACAATTCGCTCCAACGGTATACCCGTTTCGATCGCCCTTCCGCCTACGCAGCTACTTTGCCTAGCCGCCGACGTTAATGTGTGTGTGTGTTGTGTGTATGTGTGTGCGTGTGCGTGAGTTCGTCTCGAATGTAGGGGGCGTGCGTGTGTATGCGTCTGTGTGTGCGTGCGTGTTTTTGTTCTCCATAGTCTCGCTCTCGGACCCTCTGCGCTTCGACGCGGCGCGCGACACCGCGAGGCCAGACTGGCGTGCGTGCGTGCGTGCGTGCGTGCGTGCGTGCGCGTGTGCGTGTGCGTGTGCGTGTGCGTGTGCGTGCGCGTGTGCGTGAGCGTGAGCGTGAGCGTGAGCGTGAGCGTGAGCGTGAGCGTGCGTGCGCGTGTGCGTGCGCGTGCGCGTGCGCGTGCGCGTGCGCGTGCGCGTGCGCGTGCGCGTGCGCGTGCCCGTGCGCGTGCGCGTGCGCGTGCGCGTGCGCGTGCGCGTGTGTGTGTGTGTGTGTGTGTGTGCTTCGAACATGTTTGGAGGATATCGAGGGCAATGTGAGCCGATGGTTCAGAAATGATCCTCCCCCCACCCCCCATCCTGTGCCCCCACATGGGAATAACCATGCATAAACACCCGCGGCCAGCAATTTTAAAACATAGGTTCCATCCCCGCGCATGTCCTCCCTCCCGTTCTCCACACGGAGCAGGGAACAACACAAGGGCGGGGAGGAAAAAGAGGAGGAGGAGGAGGAGAAGGAGGAGGGGGAGGAGGAGGAGGAACAGCGAGGAGGAAAAGGAGAGGGATGAGCAGCGGGAGGAAGGAGGAGGGAGGAGGAGGAGGAAGAATAGGATGAGGAGGACCAAAGAGGAGGATGAGCAGCGGGAGTTCGCGGGACGCCGCCGCTGTGTTCCAGCGGCCCGAGGGAGCCCGGCAATGGGTTGTTTATTTTTCCAGCTGGTTATTGTTTTGGTTCCCAGTGGAGCGCTATCATCAGAGCGTGCGTAAGCTGTCGGGCGGGTGGTACTGGGAGGTGGCTTACATGGGGAGTGGAGAATGGGCCCTACAGGGGCCCTTTCGACAATCCCCCCTTCCATGTCCGCTTCCATTACCACCAGCCCGAAGGTCGTTTACTGCACCGGAAACGTACAACAAGGATGAGCAACCTTCCAAGGCCCCTTCGACGCATACTTGGCGACTCTCGTTGGCCAGCCCCGTTCGGAAAACGTCAACGTGGCCTTACAAGGCCCTTGCATCCTGGCTGCGCCTCCTTGTTTTGCGTTTTGATTGTGTTCCACCACGTCGAATCAGTTAATTATGTATTCGGTTATCGAGACCCGTCACGACGTGCGAAATGACGTGCTGTACCGAAATGTGTGGGTTTTGCCATTGATGTCTCCTTTACGCCTCCACCTCCTTTTCGTTCTGCCGACGCTCGTTCTTTCCCAGCGTTCGAGTTCAAAACTCCAGCGTCAGACAATAATGAATCACAGTTAAGAAGGGCTGATATAGACACGTGCGTCCGCACATCTACAAACCAAGTGGGGGAAACATAGTTAACCGGGCGAAGGACCCAACCATACTGCGCAGATCCAGAAATTTCCCCAATTTCGCCTCCGTGCTCGCCGCGGCCATTTGGGGTGGCGCGCGCAGGATAACACTCGCGGGGCCCGAGGGCGGATGGGGGCGATGTCGCGAGGGCAGAGTCGGCGCGCCGATGGGCAGCCCAGCGCCCCGTTTGGCTGGAGGGGCCCAGTACAATGCAAGGGCAGAGCCCAACCCCCGCCCGGGGTCGCGGGATCGGGCTCCCTTTCCCGATTTCGAATTTTATATCCCAGATGGTGTCCTCGAACATACTTTCGGTTTCGGTCATCCGACGACCCGAAAAGTTTACCGGCCGACCTGAACGTGGACAAATTCCATGGGACCGGTGCCACAAAAAATGTCGGGCCCGGTTCGAACGACCCGAACATGTGCAAACCGCCGGAAATTCCTTGCTAAAACATCGTTCTCGAGGTCTTCGGGCCCACTCCGAAAAAACCGAACATGTACAACCCGCCTAGATCTTCCTATCAAAAACGGTTTCTCGGTGGTCCCGGGCCTCGTCCGAAGCCGCCGATGGGCCGATTGCTCAGGACATCATGCACAAGAAACGGTTTCCCGGGTGAGCCACTGTCAACGGGAACGCGCCCCGCGCGGGATCGGGGTTCGCACGGGGGCGCTGCTGCCATCGCCTGTCCAGGGGGCATGCATTGTCGCGCCCTTCCAGCACAGCGTTCGCGCTGCATTCGCGCGGCGCCGTGCCTTTCAAATCGGAATGAATTTTCGGAACGCCGATGTATGCAATTGTGCGTACCGCAGTTGAAGGTGTCGTCTTCGGTGGAGCTTCGTATGGGCCACGACACGCTGTATTGGGTGGGGGAGACGCGCGCGAATTTTGCCATGGGGGCCTTCGGTGGAGCTCCGTATGGGACACGAAACTTTGTACTGGGTGGGGAAAGCGCGTGCGAACTTTGCCACTGGGGCCTTCGGTGGAACTCTCCATGTGCCACTCAATGCTGTATTATAGTCGGTGGGAGAGACGCATGCGAACTTTGCCACTGGGGCATTTGGTGGAACTCCCCATAGGCCAAGAAACGCCGTGCTTGGTGGGTGAATCGCATGCGAACTTTGCCCTTGAGTCCTTTGGTGGAGCTTCCTTTCGGTCACGCAACGCCGAACTGGGTGGGGGAAACGCGTGCGAACTATGCCACTGGGGGTTTCGATGAAGTTCCCCATGTGCAACGCAACGCTGTACTGGGTGGGGAGACGCATGTGAAGTTTGCGCCAATCGTGCCTCCGATGGATCTCCAAATGTAGCGAAAAAGAGTGTGAGGTGTGTGCCGAGATGGTTGCCCTTCGGAGGGCAGAGGGAAGAATTTAGGAGGAGGGAGAAGGAGGAATGAGGAGTGAGGAGCGCGGGGCGCTGTCTCGCCAAAGCGAGGACCCGACACCACAGCAAGGTTGGGATCAAGAGAATCAAAAGAAACAGGTACATGCGACATCCACAGTCACAGCGGTGTACGCAGGGACTGGGTCCAAGCTTTCATTTAGAAGCTGCTGGGTTCGGGCAGACCTCGATTTTCTGGAGTTTGGGCGCGGAAGGTTTCACGGAGGCTTTGCTGCGTATGCATGCAAGAACTCTACGCTATGTTCGCCGGTGCCAGGGTCTGGGGTGCACGCTGCTGCTGTGGTGGCGCAAGCATTGAATGCACCAGCGCCGCTGTGGACGAAGGCGCTTCGGTGGATTATACCCTGGGCAAAAAAAACAAAATTATAAATAACGTCTTTGGGGAAATTGGTAGGTTCGGGACCACCACGAGCTTCGAGAATTTAGGTCCCGTCGGGGCACTGAACGTTTCATGCAGGCTCTCTGGTTTTCAAAGGCCTTGCTGTGTACGCAAGCGCCAGACGCTAAGGCGCGCGCGGCTGATGCGGTTGCGCAAGCATCGTGTTGCGCACAGGTGCTGTGGTGCACGCAGAAGCTGCTGAGTGTGGAAGGGCGGTGTGGTGAGGGCACTCGTGTGCGTGTGTGTGTGTGTGTGTGTGTGTGTGTGTGTGTGTGTGTGTGTGTGTGTGTGTGTGTGTGTGTGTGTGTGTGTGTGTGTGTGTGTGTGTGTGTGTGTGTGTGTGTGTGTGTGTGTGTGTGTGTGCGCTTGTGCGCGCGGGCGCAGTAGTGCACGCCAGCAACGAGGCTAGTACACATATTACTACCACTACGCCTTCTGCTGCAAGCACCTGCTAATGCAATGGCAATTCGTATCAGGTCGGCTACTATTCGAATTATTGTTGCCACGGCCATCCCGACCACAGATGTCTTTCTCATGTTGATTGTTACTACGACAACTGCTAGAAGTGCCACTGCCACCGCCATTCATGCAACTTACGAGTAGTACGGCTAAACTAGGGCATTGTAGTACCATTATCGCGAGACGTTTGTAATTCAAGTGGCCTGCGAAATTCCGCCGACCCCCCATGTGGGGCCCCGTGCAGAGCTCTTGAGGGCTCATGTCTGTCCTCTCGTACAAGAATCTCGAGAAAACTGATTTTTTTATCGAAGACGCCTACAGCGACTCACCGCCGCCACCTGCCCTTTTGGAAGTGCTTATGTTGCCGGAAGTTGGGCCAGAGTTACCGGGCCATGTGTTCCCCAAATTGTCGTTGAAACTTGTCGGGGAACAGGTGGGCAAGAGGATCATGAGGAGAAGAAGGCAAAGGGAGAATGAGGACGCCTCTCGGAAACCTCTTGGGGCACTCTTGGGGTCTCCTGGGGGCTGCCCGGGGGCCTCTTGGGAGGCCTCTTGGGGACCTCCTTGGGCCTCTTGGAATCCTTCGGGGGGCTTGTTCGGGGCTGCTTTGGCAGTCGGGCGTGCCTGTCCCGCCTGACGCCGTCGGGAGCCGTCTTGGATGCCTCTCTGGACCGACTCGGGGCTCTCTTGGCGCTCTTCAGGGACAAACTTGGGCGTCTTGGAGGCCTGCCGCCTTCGGGCCCTCTTGGAGCCGTCTTGGAGGCCTCTTCGGCCATCCTGGGGCAATCTTGGAAGCCTCTGGGGTCACCTTGGGGCGATCTTGGGGGCCTCTTGGGCTGTCGAAAGGCCGAAAAGACGCAAATGGCAAAATGCTTCAAACATGTAAGGGAAATCAATGATTTAGGCCTCTCGGGGCATTCCTGGAGGACCTCTTGGGGTCCTCTTGGGCCGTCTGTGAGGCCTCTTGAGAGCCTCTTGGGCCGTTTTGGGCCGTCTTGGAGGTTTCTTGGGCGAGTTTGGAGGCATCTTGATCTCCGTCTTGGAGGCCATCTTGGACCATGTTGGGCGAACTTGGAAGCTATCTTCGCCGTCTTGGAGGCCACCCAGGCCGTCTTGGAGACGCTGGTTGCGCAGCGGCGTGGCCTTCCGGTCGGCCGGCGCGCTTGGCCGAAGCCCCAGGGTGAGTTCTTTTGGGAAAAGAATCAAAACCATGTCGCAGGCTTCAGCACGCCGGTCTCCTAGCATCAAAATGATCAGCATTCTAATTTCCGACCTTCGACCGTGCCGCACGTTGAACAAGAGTCGAGCTTGTTTCTTGTTGTTTCTTGTTGTTTGTTTCTCCCTCCCAGCCTATCTTGCATCAGGGAAACAAAGAAATGGCCGCAACACAAATCGTATTCTAATGTCTGATCCTTGGTCGGGGCACGGTGAAGTGCAGTTCTGTTACGCTTTTGTTTGCATCACGTAAAACGAGGAGTAGTCGCAGCACAACGTGTATTCGAATTTTCACGGCCTTCGCCGGCCACATTGAACACTAGTGAGTGGGTCTTGTTGTCCGTCCCTTGGCAAATTTGCCTGGCGAAGGACCCTAACATTTTCAGTTGTGAGAACGGCAATTTTGAATATCTTCTGCGATGGCGCTCCCTGTGGGGCCGCGAACCCTGTGAAGGACGTGACGAAATGGGTGCGGCGGGCACATGCGGACGGTGGCACGGGGGCCTTCGGTGGAGCTCCTTATGGGGCCAGGAAGCGTGTGGGTGGGGTGCCGAAATTGGTGCGGGGGACGCATGCGGGCGGTGACTTTGGAGACTTCGCTGGAGCTCCCTATGGGGTCACGACACGTGTGTGCCGAAATAGATACGGGGGACGCATGTGGGCGGTGGCACTGAGGCCTTCGGTGGAGTTCCTTATGTGGCCACGAAACGTGTGAGGGGTGTGCCGAAATGGGTGTGGGGACGCATGTGGACGGTGGCACTGGAGCCTTCGGTGGAGCTCCCTATGGGGCCACAAAACGTGTGAGGGGTGTGCTAAAAAAGGTTTGGGGGTACGCATGTGGACGGTGGCACTGGGGCCTTCGGTGGGGCTCCCTATGGGGCCACGAAGCGTGTGAGGGTGTGCCAGAATGCAGCCACTGGGGCCTTCGGTGGAGCTCCCTATTGGGCTACGAAACGTGTGAGGGGTGTGCCGAAAAGGGTGTGGGGGAGGCATGCGGGTGCAGCCACTGGGGCCTTAGGTGGAGCCCCCTATGGGGCCACGAAGCGTGTGAGGGGTGTGCCAAAGTGAGGGGGACGATTGAAGGAGGGAGGAGGAGGCGGACGAGGAAGGAAGGAACGCGGGAACCGTCTCTTCAAGACGAGTACCCAACACCACATGATGATAGGGAGAAGGTAATATCCTAATTTCTGATCTTTGGCGGGGCGTATTGAAGTGCCGTTAGGAGCTTCATGTTTAAGTTGTGCTTTGCAGCACATCTAACAAGAATTGTTCGCGAAACTGTTTGCATTCGCATTCCCGACGGCGCATACTGAAGTTTAGTGTATGGATTCCGTTGTCCGTTGGCTCAGTGTTGTCCGTTGTGTTCCGTCGTGGTTGTCATATTGGTCATTTTATTGCTGCGCTTATATTGTTTCGGCCGCGTGTTCTTCTATTGCTTATGCGTTCTCAATCGTTCACATACCCTTTGTTGTTGCATTGGTCGTTTTGTTGTTCCCTTGGCCCTGCTGCGTCTGTAGTTTTAGGTGGTCTCTTTCCAGTGTCCTCAATTGTTCCCGTGGTCTTGGCTGTTTCCGTTTCCGTTGTTTGTTGTCGGCTCTTGTTGTTCCCGTGGTTTTGTTGTTATTGTGTGCTTGGTCTTCTCGTCTCCGTGGTCTATGGGGTTACACTGTGTTTGCATACGCTGTTTTTGTCGTTGGTTCTTCCTATCGTGCATTCGTGGCTCCGTTGCTCCCGTGTCGTTGTTGCTCTCGCTCTTATGTCCTTAGTTGTTCTCGTGGTTTGCCTTGTGTCCGGTTCCTATAGTTGTTGTTGTTTGTTTGTGGTGTTGTTGTTCTTGCCGTTTGCGTTCCCGTCCCCGTGACCCCGTGTTTTTGTTGGAGATCGTTGGTTTCCTCTCTGGGCCATAGCGCGCGTTGTGCCCCCTGCTCTCCCTCCCCTTCCCCCCGCCCCCCGTAGCGTAACGCTTCCCCCCCCACTCAGAGCGCCCCCCAGCAGTGCCGCAGTGCGTCGAGCACCACAGTCTGAGGGGGGGGGGGAGGGGGGCGGTGCGTTACGCCCCCTCTCCGTCCCCCCCCTCCCCCTGCGTTGTGCCCCCCTCCCGCCCCCCCCCCCCCCCCATATCGTCCGTTATGGCCGCGCATACTGTGTGATGTTTTTGTTTAGTTCCCGTGTGATGTCGTCGTTTCTTTGTTTTGGTTGTTCATGTCTCTTCTGGCATTTCTGTTTCGCAGGCTGTTCCATGTGTTCATCCATGCCCTGCGTGATGGGTTGTTTTTGTTACCGTGCCGATGGTATCCCAGTGTCGTCTACCGTTGTTGTGTTGTTGTTCCCGTGCTGTGTTTGCCTTCGCGTGCAGTCTTCTTGAGGTCCAGCCAAGGTCACGCCTCGACCCGAGCCCAAGCCAAGGCCAGAGCCCGAACCCAGGCCCGAAGCCGCGTCCGTGCTCAAGCCTGGGCCATGAGCTAGTTCTCCGTGCTATAGATGTATGTATGTACACGCCTATCTAATCTCTCATCGTTGCCATGAGGCTTTATCTCGGGTGCCCTTGTCATGCCTCCGATGTTTGGCACGACCCAGATGTGTACGGAAAGACTGCATTTTCTCATTCATTTTGAACATGATTCGCTGTCCTCGCCGCCGCGGACGTTGTCCATTCGAAACAGAAGTCCGCTTGCCCAACAGCGGCCGATGTCGGTTTTAGACAGCATTAGTTGTGTTGCATGGGCAGAATTACTATCACCAAGGTTTGGCCAGGAGGGTTGGACTGGGAGCTGGGATTGGTCGGAGGGTTGGCCAGGGATTCTTTGATAGGTGATCATTCACATCAGATGTAGGTCATGTTTTGACATGATTTGCTTGGCCCTGCACGGGCCTCTGGAAGCCTTTGGGGGCTTCATGTGGGCCTTTGGTCGCAGGGGGGCCATCCTGGGACCACTGGATACATCCCACTTTCGATTCTCACGCAATTTGAAAGCATGTCGTCCGATTCTGTCTCGCATGGCCCTCGAATTCATTTCGAGGTTGAGTTATCCGCCGTTCGCGATCAGTCGCGGATGCTTATCTGCCTTTCAACTCTTCGATATTATATCGGCCTTGTGTCGGTGTCAGTGTCTTTCGGATTTTACATTTGTTCGGTAGATGTGCACTTGCATGATACAGTCGGGGCGCTGAATAAGGAACCCTTTTGGGGAGGGACTCCGTGTTCCTTTATTGTTTCACGTTTTGCCTCAGATGTTCCTTGGGTTTTCGATCGGAAGTCGAAGTTAGACTTCTGGAGACAAAGGGAATCGTTCCTTATTTGGGGTTCCTTTGGTCAACGCCCCGACGGTACAGGTATGTACGTATTTATTGGCCCTCGAGTTTCCTCCAGTTCTCGGCGATAGTATGGAGCACTCGAATGAGTATCATGATTCATGGGGAGGTGTCGGAGCGAGCGGACAGCGGCGAGGACGCCTGGTGCCGAGGTGCGGATGCTTTTGCGGGTGGTGGACGAGAACCCAGAGCAGTTCTTCCCCAGGGAGGCATCCCACGTGTTCACCTGCAGGCGTCGGTTTGACCCCAAAAGGGGGTCCAGCGACGACGGGGTGGTGCGGTAGGTTTGGTGCCATAGATTTGTGGGGTTGCAGTACATTTGGGGCGTGCAATCCAGTCCGGAGCGCAGCAGCACATAACTGTCAGTACAACGCAACACGGTTCTCCAGCGCAGTACATGTGCAATACAGTGGCCCCAAATCTAGTGCACCACTTCCGCTCAGCTGGACCCCCATTTGGGTCACCCCAGAGGCGGGCGTCGTTCTGTTGACGATGTCCGCGCTGTCGTCGAGAGAGCGCTCGGCCTCTGCCGTATCCCACCCCACACTGCTCGCAGGGCCCCACGTGCGCGCACAAGGGCGAGGGGCGCTCCTGCGCCTCGTCACCCTCTGCCCGTTCTCGTGCCGTCGGCACGTCCGAGTCGCGCGCCCAGCGGCGGCCTGCTCAGGGGGGCCAGTCGAGACGCCGGAACGAGGGCCACGCTGGGCTCGGGAGGTGCTCTGCCAAGGGCTCCCACGAGGGCGCGAAGTTATTCGCGCTTCGCGCTTCGCGGTCCTCGTTCCTTCTCCCCCCTCCTCCTCGTCCTCCTTTTCTCCCTTTGGGGGGGCGGCGCGAGAGCGCGAAGTTATTCGCGCTTCGCGCTTCGCGGAGCGCGAAGCGCGAAGTTGGGAGCCCTTGTCTGCTGTCCGGCCGTTCCTCAGAGCAAGGTCGGGTGACCACTTCGTGGCCAAGGCTCGCCGCGGCCAGCAGCGCCCCTCCGTGCGTTATTCAGGGCTCCTGGTGGTAGCGCGGTGACTGTAAGACCCTCTTTCGGACGCCCCTCTCTTCTGTTCGACCAGGGCGGGCGCCACGAGGACCCCCAAAAAGGAGGCTAGATCAGTCAAACTTGGCATTCGTTTTTGTGTCTTTGTGTGTGTGCGTGCGTGCGTGCGTAAGTGCGTGCCTGCCTGCCTGCCTGCGTGCGTGCGTGCGCGTGCGCGTGCGCATGCGCGTGCGCGTGCGCGTGCGCGTGCGCGTGCGCGTGCGCGTGCGCGTGCGCGTTGCGCGTGCGCGGGCGCGGGCGCGTGCGCGTGTGCGGGTGCGTGTGCGTGCGCGTGTGCGTGTGCGTGTGCGTGTGCGTGTGCGTGTGCGCGTCCGCGTGCGCGTGGGCGTGGGCGTCCGCGTGCGCGTGCGCGTGTGCGTGTGCGTGTGCGTGCGCGTGCGTGTGTGCGCGTGCGCGTGCGCGCGTGCGCGCGTGCGCGTGTGCGCGTGTGCGCCCGTGCGCGTGTTCGCGTGTGCCCGTGTGCGCGTGTGCGCGTGTGCGACTGTGCGACCGTGCGACCGTGCGACTGTGCGACCGTGCGACCGTGCGACCGTGCGACCGTGCGACCGTGCGACCGTGCGACCGTGCGACCGTGCGACCGTGCGACCGTGCGTGTGTCCGTGTGTGCGTGTGTGCGTGTGTGCGTGTGTGCCTGTGTGCGTGTGTGCGTGTGTGCGTGTGTTCGTGTGTGTGTGCTTCGTTGGGGGACTCCAGCTCTTCGAGCGAGATCTGACTCGAAGAGGTTTTCCCTGAGAAGCCAAACAACGCCATAATGTTCCCGAGAGGGGTCCAATCTAGTCCCAGGATGGCCCAGGACTGCCCGAGGCTGGGCAGAACGTGCTGGCAGAGTCTGCCGAGGCGCGCCTGCGAGGGACTCGAGAAGGAGAGAATGGAGCCTGCTTGGAAAGATGGGGGACGGGGGGAGATCGCGGGGGGCGGGAGTGGGAGGAGGGGGAGGAGGAGGAGGAAGAGGAGGAGGAGGAGGAGGAGGAGGACGAGGAGGACGAAGAGGAGGAGAAGGAGGAGGATGAGGAGGAGGAGGAGGAGGACCCTTGGTGGGAGGTGCACAGACGAAGAGAGGGCGATAGGGAGGGAAATGAAGGAGAGGAAGGGGCGGGCATGGGAGTGGCGGGGGAGCAGATTCAGGGATCGTGGATGGGGATGTGGGAGTGGAGCGACGGAGGCGCGAAATACCGAAAGAGAGCGGCCTCCAGAAGCGGCAGCGGGGCGGTCGTGGAGGACTCTCGGCGCCTCCGCTGTGGGCCCGCCTTTTTTGGGGCGCAGCAGCCCTCAAGACCGGAGCGCGTGGAAGCCCCAGGCTGGTTCAGAGTTTCCAGGGCTCCCCGACGGGGTCGGAGCAGATGGGGCCGGAGGATCGCTCTGCATCGCCGATGCATTGGCGGCGCTGCTCGATGTGAAGCCCGATATTCTCAACGCCGAAGTCGCCGAAGCATCGCCAACGTCGCGGACGCAACGCCGATGCATTGGCGACACATTGCCGATGCATCGGCGATGCGGCGCGGTCCTCCGACCCCATCTGGGAGGCCTCCAGAGGCTGACCCTGTAAATACCCATTTGGGGGACCTTCCCAGGGCCCACCTACCGGATCTGTTCGACTCTAGTTCGACTCCAGTTCTCCCCCACTTCTCCGCTGGTTCGGCTCGAGTTCGACTCAAGTCAACGGACGTTCCACGCAGCATCCATGGAGGGAGTTGTTCCAGGAAGGTCCCCAGAACGCGCATCGGATACGTCACAGGGTTACTTTGCACCTTCGGGCCACCTCCCCTGTCCAGGAACTGGCCGTCTCTTCTCGCACTGCGACGTGGATTCGGCGGGGATTTGGCCTGGACTCCACGTGGATTCGGCATGCACTCGACGCGGATCCCACGCATTCGACGCGGATGCGACACGGATGCGACACGGATGGTATGCTCGATGGGGCGGACGTTGTCCCCCAAAGGTGCGCAACACCAACAGAGCGAGGCCTCGGACATCTTGCAGAAACACCGCTCTGGTGCATGCTGGCTGACCTTGCATCTTCGGGGGGGGGCCTTCCCTGTCCTGGAGACGGCTGTCCTTTTTTGTACTCTGGCCTAAGTTCGACGCGGATTCGACGTGAATTCGGCATGGATCCGACGTGGATTCGACACGGATGCCACACGGACTCCACACGGACTCCACACGGACTCCACACGCAGTCGACGCGGGGTTCGCGGCGCGCTGGCACAGACAATGGCCCCCCGAAGATGCGGCACGAGCTGGCGTCGAAGGGAAGGACTACGCGCCCTGGGCGCCCTGGCTGGTGGGCCTGTTTTCCACCACCGCCACCATACGCAGGAGGGGGAGGGGGTCCTCCTCCTCCTCCCCCTCCTCCCCCTCCTCCCCCTCCTCCTTTTTCTCCTCCTCCTCCCCTCCCCCTCCTCCTCCCTCTCCTCCTCCCCCTCCTCCTCCTTTTTCTCCCCCTCCTCCTCCACCTCCTCCTCCCCCCCTTCCAACTTCTGGTGGTGGTGGTGGTGGAACACAGGCCCATCACTTGGCCAGCCGCCGCGTGGCCGTCGCCGCGGGGCGAGGAGGGGGGACAGACCTCGAGACGTGATGATCGTGCTCGTATTCACTGTTCTGCCGATCGGCGCGGGCCCTCGCACCCCCCCCCCACTCTTCCCCCCCCCCCTCCTGGAGTAGACACTGTTCATTTCCAGTTCCTCGAAAGCTCTTCATTGTTTTGGGGAGCCAAGGTCCTCTCATTTCTAATTGTTCCATCCTGGTCCTCTTCCTGGCCACTAGGGGGCAAGGAACAAGTAGAAACAAGCATAATCAAAAATGAGCACGATTCGAAATGAACGACGTGCAGATCCTGGCTGTGTTTGGGCTCCTTCTTTCGAGCAGGTGGGGTCTCCCCCCTGGAACGCACGGTTGCAGACAGCCGCACGAAACAGAGGTCCGGAGCCAGACCCTCAACCCCCCCCCCCCCGCCCGCTGTCGAAACGCCAGATAAAGAGAGCGCTCGCCATACGGAGCGAGGTCTGGTCGGATCCGTGCGGGACACCCCTCCTCCGGCATCGCGGGGATGCAGCAGGCCTGCGGCAGGTGCGCTCTCGGCACCGCCCGGAGGGCAGGAAGGTAACTATCGGGTTGGGAGGACGGGGTTGGGAGAAATGGAGGATATCCTGGCCCGTAGGCGGCCGAAGGTAATTGGGACTCGTTGCGTCCGAATGGTATTGCGCATGCCCTGCATCCTCCCTCGAAGAAGGAACAAGCGGCACAAACATAAACTTTTGGCGCTCCGCGCGGATTTCTTGGATCCGCGCTGGACCCCCCTCCCTGGCGCGGAGCGCGCCCCCCGGCGCCCCCCCCCCTCCCCCCCCCCCCCCCCCCCCCCCCCCCCCCTCCCCCTCCCCCCCCCCCTCCTCCCCCTCCTCCTCCTCCTCCTCCTCCTCCTCCCTCCTCCTTCCTCCTCCTCCTCCTCCTCGTCCTCCCCCTCTTCCTCTGGAGGCACTCCTCAATATCCCTCTTCCCCAGCTCTCTCTCCTTTTCCTTCTTTCTCCCTCCTGTTCCCCCTTCTCCTTGTCCGTCCTCCTCCTCCTCCATTCTCCTCCTCCTCCTCCTCCTCCTCCTCCTCCTCCTCCTCCTCCATTCTCCTCCTCCTCCTCCTCCTTCTCCTCATTCGTTTGCGATCACTCGCTTCCTGACTCCCTCTTCCGCTTCCTTCTCCTCGCCCTCGCCGACCTCGTCTTCCCCAGCGCCGTGGGGATGGGGTGGGCGGGAGGTCCAGGATGCCGCACCGTGCGATGCGAGAGCGCACCCAGCTTGCCCCTCCCCGCTTGCCGACCCCATTCCCTGTACCGCTCCCCCCTTCTTCCTCCGGTCCCCCGTCGCTCCTGGCGGCAACGTCGATCCTCCTCCTTCTCCTCCTCCTCCGAGATCCCTCTCCTCCTTCTCCTGCCCCTTGTGAACAACAACAGCCATCGCCAACGACGCAGGGCTGACGCGGGCTCGGATCCTGGTGCGCTCGAGGATTGAGGATATTCCCCGTGGGAGGAGGAGTAGAAGGACGACGAGGGGGAGGAGGGGGAGGAGGAGAGGGAGGGGAGAGAGATAGAAGAGGGAAGAGCATGTGAAGAAAGAGGAGAGGGATGACGAAAAGGAGGTGGCAGAGGACGAGGAGGGGAGGAAGGACATGGGGAGGAGGCGAGGGATGAGGACGAGGGCAGGAATGACGGGCAAGCCGAGCATCCAACTCCCCCGAACCCCGAAGCCCCCCTGGGGACCACCTCGGGACGCCCGCCGTCAGAGTCCGCGATCCCCTGAACGGATGTCGGAGACAGCGCCACGCCTGCAGGGGGCCTCGGCGGAGGACGCCGAAGGAGGTAAAAGAACTCTTCGGCGACCTCGTCGTGATCATGGACGAGCTGTTCGAGCAGCGCTCGCGCCACGGGCGCAGGTCCCGGGAGGCGGAGCTGCACTCCGAGGGCGACACGGACTCGGAGAGTGGCTGCAGCGAGACCGAGTAGGATGAGACCCGCCGCCTTCCGAATCGGGTATATGCGCAGCCCCATCTTCCCGCACCAGACCCGCTTGGTGTGCTCTGCCTGCCGAGCCACAGACTCTCCACCTTCCCCTTCCCGCACCTCCCTGCGCTTAAGCTGCGCAAGGTATTGTAATTTGAAGGGGGTTCTGTGGAACTCACGTCATCCTGACTCCCAGCGTGCGACACAAAGCCACCGCCGACCGCCTCCACTGTTCCGTTTCAGGCGAGGTCCGGAAATCCGGCGAATTGGGCGAATTCGGCGACGAATGGCAAACCGGCGTCCTCGCTTGGGACATCCTCGCACCCCTGGAGCTTCCCCAAGGAGGCCTTCAGAGGCCCCACCTTGTTCCGTTTTAGGCGAGATCCTGGAAATCCGGCGAATCGGGCGAATCCGGCGACGAATTTCGCGGGACATCCTCAGAAAAAACCCTTCCAGAGCCTCCCCAAGGAGGGCCTCAGAGGCCCGCGTTTTAGGTGAGATCCAGGAAATCTGGGAAATCCGGCGACTCAGGCGAAGAATTCCAAACGCCCCCGTGTGGGAACATCCACAGAAAAACCTTCCCCGTAGCCTCCCCAAGGATGCTCTCAGAGGCCCCCCCGTTCCGTTTCAGACGAAATCCGGCGAATCGGGCGAATCCGGCGACAAATTCCAAACTGGCGCCTTAGCTTGGGACATGCTCATGAAAAACGCCCCAGAGCCTGCCCAATGAGGCCTTCAGAGGCCCCCCTGTTCCGTTTCAGGTGAGTTCCGGGAAATCCGACGGATCGGGCGAATTTGGCGATGAATTCGAACCTGGCGCCCTCGCGTGGGACATCCACAGAAAAACACGCCCCCGGAGACCCCCCAAGGAGGCCCTCAGATGCCCTCCCTCTTCCGTTTCAAGCGAGATCTGGGATATCTAGCCAGTCGCGCGAACCTGGAGACGAATTCCAAACCAGCGCCCTCACGCGGGACATCCACAGCAACACCGTCCCTGGAGCCTCCCCAAGGAGGCCCTCTCAGAGGCCCCCTGTTCCATGTCAGGCACGATCTGGGAAATCCGGCGAATCGAGCGAGTCTGGTACCAATTTCCAAACCTGCGCGCTCGCGTGGGACATCCACACGACAACACGCCCCCGGAGCCTCCCCAATCAGGCCCTCAAAGGCCCCCTCTGTTCCTTTTAAGCGAGGTCCCGGAAATCCGTCGAAACCAGCATATCATGTGGCGACAAGTTCCAAGCCTGCGCCCTCGCGTGGGACATCTTCGGAAAAGCCGCCCCTGAAGCCTCCCCAACGAGGCCCTCAGAGGTCCCCTTGTTTCGTTTCAGGCGAGATCCGGGAAATCTGGCGAATCGGGCGAATCCGACGACGAATTCCAAAACGGCGCCCTCGCGTGGGACATCATAACAAAAACCGCCCCTAGAGCCTCCCCAAGGAGGACCTCAGAGACCCCCCTGTTCCGTTTCAGACGAGATCCGGGAAATCCAGCGAATCCGGCGACGAATTCCAAAAACGCCCCTGGAGCCTCCCCAAGGAGGCCTTCAGAAGGCTCCCCTGTTCAGTTTCAGGCGAGTTCCGGGAAATCCGGCGAATCTGGTGATGAATTCCAAACGGGTGCCCTCGCGTGGGACACCCGCAGAGAAACTGTTCCTGGAGTCAGAGGTCTTGTGTCAGGCGTGATCTGAGAAATCCGGCGCATCGGGCGACGAACTCCAAACCGGCGCCCTCGCCTGGGACATGCTTCAATGTCGACTGCACGTAAGAGTGACCCTTCGCCAGAGTGACCTTTGGTGCGCGCTCACTGGGGTCCCCCGATCGCCGCGCTCGGTGCGGTAGTAGCGTCTTGCGCGCTTGCGTGTTGGCCTCCTCGCGCCTCCCAAGATGCGGCGCACCAAATGCCCCTCTTGCCCAGGGTCGCTCTTACGTGCAGCCGATTCAACAAAAATCTCACACGCCCCCGGAGCCTCCCCAAGGAGCCCTTCAGAGGCCCCCCCTCCTGTTACGTTTCAGGGGACTGCCAGGCGCATCCAGTCGTGGCCGCGGCGACGAGGGGAGGCCAGGATGTACCCCCTCATAACTCGGAGGTGGATAGACCTCCTACCCTGACACGTCGATTAAGGAATTGGCCGTTTTCGGCTCGCGAGAGGGCGTCGCGGCCGTCATTTTTGCGGGTCCAGGTCCGTCGGTTTCGGTCCCAAGCCGTTTTCATTACGGGGAGGTTTACTAAAGGGAGGTTTGTCCACTGCCGAAGAATTGTCTCGGCGAAGGACAGAGCCATATGCAGTTGTGAGTACACGTTGATCATTGCGAATTCTTCGGCAGCTCTTTGATTTCTGTTTCTTGGGGGGGGGGGGGGGGGGGGGGGGGGGGCAAAATCAGATTTTCATCTCGAATTGTTCCATCCTGGGCCTCTTCCTGACCACCAGGGGGCTAGGAATAATTAGAAACGGGCCAAATTAGAACAGGAGCACGATTATAAATGAACGACGTGTAGCGCAGTTGTTGGTATCGTCCTTGGTGGACCTCTCTGCGTCAAGGGAGGAAAAAACACCCGAACCCGACGATTGACGTGTACTAAACGGCTCTGGGCGTTTACTGTACAGCCCGTCCCTGCTCGATTCCTTCCGTGGGTGCGTTTGCTAAACGGCTTCGCTTGTCGGGGTGATTCGTATGGGGGGGGATTCTCCGCCCTCTAACTCTGGGGCCACGACGCGTGCGACGGGCGTGCCAAGATTGGCACAGGCTCGCCATGCGGACGCTGCCACCGGCGACGCTGGTGGAGCCCCACGCAAGGCCACGGAACGCGTGAGGGGTGCCCGCGGATGCAGGGTGGAGCCGCGTGCGGGCGCTGCCACTTAGGGCCTTCGGCGGAGCTCCCTCTATGTCTATGGGGCCACGAAAACGTGTGAGGTGTGAGCCGAAAGGGAGGTGGAACTGCATGCGGACCCTGCCACTTGGGCTTTGGGTGGAGCACCCTGTGGGGCCACGAGACGTGTGAGGGGTGCGCGGGAATGGGGGTGGGGGCGAACTGCATGCGGACTCTGCCACTGGGGCCTTCGGTGGAGCACTCTATGGGGCCACGAAACGTGTGAGGGGTGCGCCGGAATGGAGGTGGAACTACATGCGGACCCTGCCACTCGGGCCTTCGGCGCAGCACCCTAAGGGGCAACGTAACGTGTGAGGTGTGCGCCGAAGGGGAGGTGGAACTGTATGCGGACCCTGCCACTGGGGCCTTGGGCGGAGCACTCCACGGGGCCACGAGACGTGCGAGGGATCCGCTGAAATGGAGGTGGAACTGCATGCGGATCCTGCCACTGGGGCCTTCTGCGCAGCACCGTATGGGGCCATGAAAGGTGTGAGGAGTACGCCGAAATGGAGGTGGAACTGCATGCGGACCCTGCCACTGGGGCCTTTGGTGGAGCCTCCCATGGGGCCGCGAGACGTGTCAGGGGATTCGCCGAAATTGAGGTGGAACTGCAGGCGGACACTGCCACTGGGGCCTTCGGCGCAGCACCGCATGGGGCCACGAAACGTGCGAGGTGTGCGCCGAAATGGAGGTGGAACAGCATGCGGACCCTGCCACTGGGGCCTTCGCTGGAGCTCTCTATGGGGCCACGAAGCGTGTGAGGGGTGCGCCGACATGGGCATGCGAGAAAGCAGAGGCAGGGATGGAAGGAGGGTGGAGGCGGGAGGAGGAGGAAAGGAGGAGGAGGAGGAGGAGGAGGAGGAGCAGCAGGAGGAGGAGGAGGAGGAGGAAGCAGGATGAGGGAGGAGGGAGGAGGAGGCGGAGCAGGAGGAGAGGAGCGCGGGGCACTGACTCCTCAAAAAACGCGGGGACCCAACGCAAGAGGAATGGTTGGGCAGCAGCGCGCGAGCCGCACCGCGGAGTCCTCTCCGGTGTGTGCTCTCTCATCTCTTTTTCCGTCCCATCTTTCTTTCCCTCCTCCCGCAACAACGGGGACGCGGGACAGGCTGGAGGAGGAGGAGGAAGGAGGAGTGGAGTAGGAGGAGGAGGAGGATGAGGAGACCGGAGGGGAGGAGGAGGAGGAAGACCAGAGGAGGGAGGAGGAGGAGGGAGGAGGATGAAGGAGGAGGAGGAGGAGGAGGAGGATGGTTGGACAACAGCGCGCGATCCGCAAGCCTCTCTCTAGTGTGTGCTCTCTCTCCTCCCGCGGGCGCAGTGCCCGACGCCTCGCCGCGCCGCCGCGCGCAGGGCAGGAAGGGCACGCTCGGGAGGGAGCCCACGGGCTCGTTCGCCCGCCGGTCCTCCTCCTCCTTCTCCTCCTCCTCCTCCTCCTCCTCCTCCTCCTCCTCCTCCTCCTCCTCCTCCTCCTCCCTTCTCGCCCATCCCCCGAGCTGGCCAAATGGAGTACTTCATCAATGCCAGCCGTCCTGAGGACGCCTACGAGGTTAGCCTTGCGTATGGCAATTGGATTTCCCAGGTTGAGGAGGCCCACATTGCTACCGAGCGGCTCCCTCCTGATCAGGCTAGGGCGTGTCGAGGTCGTGCGCATGGGCATTCCATCAAGCGGGTCAAGGCGTGTACTACCCCAGGGAGGGCTCACACGTTGGACCCTGGTGTTGAGCTGTGGAGTACCCTGACGACCTTGGCCGTCAGGGCCCGCGCGTTGGTGGTAAACGAGTCGGACAGTGACCAGCTAGATTACGTTTTGGGCGACCTCGAGCATCGGTGCGATACCATTGCGAGCGAAGCCCACCGTGCCAAGTGCTTCGGCAACGCCCTCAGTGCTGAGCTGGAGGAGTGGAAGCATGTCAAGGATGCTCTCCTGGTGGCCATCGGCAATGACTTCCACCACATGTCGTCCTCCGACCTCATCGGTGTCATTGACCCGTTCATTGAAGTGTCGGAGAGGTGGGCGAGCAGGGCCTTGGGCAGATCCCATGCCAGGGCGCGCCGTGGCTTCATCAAGTGGGCGAAGGAGTCCTGGAAGTCCAAGGCGGGGGTCATCTACAGGCATGTGCGCGAGCCGCAAGTACAGCAA